AACAAAATCCCACAAACCAGGTTGAATTAATATGATGAAACTTTGGAGGTAAGTTTGGTTTGTCCCAGAAAGAATACATTGACTTTTTAGAGAAATTCCCTCAGAGATGAAGAGCAATGTCTCTGAAACGGGTCACGAGATTCTGGTGAAACTTGATCAAAATGTGGTATCAAGCCTAAGAAATAACCCATATAAATTTGTGATTAGTAGGTCAAAGGTCAATTCCACAGGTCGAGGTCAAAGTGGGGCATAAAATTGGGCATGGAAGGAGTAGAAGGGGGGTTACTATGAACAAAATATCCCAGAAATGGTTGAGTAAATTTTGATAAATCCTGATTGATATGTTTCCTGATATCCAAGGATGAAGTGATATGAATTTGGTGAGAATAGGTCAAAGGTCAACACCACAAGTCGAGGTCAAAGTTTGATGTAAGAGAAGAGGTTGAATCTATACCATGGTGAACCCTTTCCTAATCCTTTATCCAATTTTCTCACTCACTTCCCTCTCCCTTTTTTGTTACTTACCCTCTTTCTCTCTCTCGCTTATCTCCACCATCCTTCCCCTTCCTTATCTCACTTCCGTCTCCTCTGCTACCCTAACCCCGACCCAAACCCCTACCCTAACCCCTACCCTAACCCCTACCCTCACCCCTACCCAAACCCCTACCCTCACCCCCTACCCTCACCCCACCCAACCCCTACCCTAACCCCTACCCAAACCCCTACCCAAACCCCTACCCTAACCCCTACCCTAACCCCTACCCTCACCCCCTACCCTCACCCCCTATCCTCACCCCTTACCCACCCAGTTTCGCCGTTCTTCCCACTTGATGACAGAACCTAATTTCCGTTCCCTTATCTTCCTATCGAACTGTGAGCTGTGCTTCCTAGAGACCAACACACACACTTGTTTAAACTCTCAGCTCTCTAGACCTAATTTAGTTGCATATTTCTCTATTTCAGTTCATATGTTTCTGTTTTCTTTATTCATTATCTTCCTCTGTTATCTTGTCTACTAATTATCTACCTTTGTCTACTAATTATCTACCTTGTCTACTAATTATCTACCTTGTCTACTAATTATCTATCTTGTCTACTAATTATCTACCTTGTCTACTAATTATCTATCTTGTCTACTAATTATCTATCTTGTCTACTAATTATCTACCTTGTCTACTAATTATCTACCTTGTCTACTAATTATCTACCTTGTCTACTAATTATCTAACTTGTCTACTAATTATCTACCTTGTCTACTAATCATCTACCTTGTCTACTAATTATCTACCTTGTCTACTAATTATCTACCTTGTCTACTAATTATCTACCTTTGTCTACTAATTATCTACCTTGTCTACTAATTATCTACCTTGTCTATTAATTATCTACCTTGTCTACTAATTATCTACCTTGTCTACTAATTATCTACCTTGTCTACTAAATTACCGTCTTTATCAATTACTTTATTTACTTAATTACTTACCGGAGTATTTAACTATTGACCTAATTATTCGTCCTATTTTTAATCACCTAATTTGCCACTTAATTGTCTACCTAATCTACCATCTACCTAATTATCTACTTAATGAATTAATTATCTGCCTAATTATCTCATTTCATCGGTGAGTTAGTTCATTCTCTATCTAATTATATAATTCATGGGTGATTTTTCATTAGATTATATAGGGAATTAGTTGGTTGAGTAGTAATTATATGTGATCCATAACACACACACACACACACACACACACACACACACACACACACACACACACACACACACACACACACACACACACACACATACACACACACACACACACCGTAAAAGTAAACAGTTCCTCTGGCCTCACTCTCTTACAAATTACTATTAAGTAGCTCCCACTTAAGGCCCATTCACTTTACGCCCTCAGCCCTCACAAGTAGCCGTAAGTGAAGTGGGCACACGTACTAAGGGGCACTTTAGAGGGCGGGAGGGGTGCACGTGATAGGTGGGTGAGAGCCTCAGTCATTAGTGGGAGAGGTGGGAGTGGGTGAGGTGTGTGGGAGAGGTGGGAGTGGGTGAGGTGTGTGGGAGAGGTGGGAGTGGGTGAGGTGTGTGGGAGAGGGGGAGTGAGGAGGTGTGGGGAGACGGGGAGTGTGTAGCCTCTCACTCACCCTGTGTGTGTGTGTGTGTGTGTGTGTGTGTGTGTGTGTGTGTGTGTGTGTGTGTGTGTGTGTGTGTGTGTGAACAGTACTGGTAAGTAGATTGGGATGGAAGAAGAGAGAGAGAGAGAGGAGAGAGAGAGAGAGAGAGAGAGAGAGAGAGAGAGAGAGAGAGAGCTACCTGCTTCTCCTCCTCGGCAGCTGGCAGACAACACCACACTACCTGTGATGGCTCTACTAATTACTGGAGTGTGTGTACCTGTCTAGCGCCCTACAGCAACGAGTGATCATCACGTCACCTGGGCGGGGCTGCCTGCTGCTGCTGCTGCCAACAGTATTTTGTCTGCTGCTGCCAATAGTACCGTGTCTGCCAACTGTACTTTGTTGTTGTCAAGAGTAATTTGTCTGTCAGCAGTACTGTCTCCCTGAACAACATGTGACTTAACCTTGGCTTTGGTGGACATAGTTTATTGCGTTAGTGAGGCAGTGTAGAGTGAGGGACCCGCAGTGTAGAGTGAGGGACCCGCGCCACAAGTAGGTAGACAGAGGCATGTCAGTCAGTCAGTCAGTCAGTCAATCTATCACCCATCCAGCCAGTCATTCGATTAATCAACCAATGAGTCAAGTCAGTAAAAGCATTCATAGAGCTGTCTAACGCAACAGATAAAAGGGAAGATATATTTATTACGTATCACCACACACACACACACACACACACACACACACACACACACACTCACACACACACACACACACACACACTTCATTAATTACAACTCTTATCTTGGCTTTACTCTATAAGGAATTTTGTTGTCTCTATATTTCGTTTTTTTCTTTAATTGTTTCGTTCAGTAGGAATTTTTTTTTATACATTTTGGGTTAAATTTTTTTTAATGTTTTGTGTTTGTGTTCCGAGATTGTTGTTGTTTGTTGTTGTTGTTGTTGTTTGTTATGTGATATGAATTGTTTTTATAGAGTGTTTAGGTGTGAATGTTTACCAGTGTTTTGAGGGAGGTGTTTATTTGTCTGTTTGTTTCTCTCTCTGTTTGTTTGTCTCCATCCCCTCTCTCTTCTTCCTTCCCTCTCCCTACCCCCTCGTTCCCCCTCTCCCCAACCCCCTCTCTCCCCACTCCCTCCCCATCTCCCTCTCTCCCTCCCCCACCCTCTCTTACTCTCCCACTCTCTCTCCCCACCCCCTCCCTCCCTCCCTCCCTCTCACCAAGCATCCACTAATGGCAATCTCCACCACGTCTTCCCACCACGTCTTCCACCACAGGCCGAGGGAGCAGTTACCCGTGATGGCTGTCTCTGTACACGGTCCCGGTCTCATTACCTCAAATAACTAACATTGTCAATCTTTATAAACGATACGTGACAGAAGCTGGGACTGTGTGTGTGTGTGTGTGTGTGTGTGTGTGTGTGTGTGTGTGTGTGTGTGTGTGTGTGTGTGTGTGTGTGTGTGTGTGTAGAGTGAAGTTTGTTGAGTATAATTATTTAGTTTCCTTAATAGCCTTTCCTGACATGACTGAGGGAGTTTTTTAAATTGTCAAGTAATGTGTCAGGGAGGGGGGAGGGCTGGGAGGCCAGGAGGGAGGGCTGGGAGTGTGTCAGGTGGGAGGGCTGGGAGTGTGTCAGGAGGAGGCTGGGAGGTGGCCAGAGGGAGGCTGGGAGTGTGTCAGGTGGGAGGCTGGGAGTGTGTCAGGTGGGGAGGGCTGGGAGGAAGCCAGGAGGGAGAGTTAGGGAGGTGTCAGGTGGGAGGGCTGGGAGGCTGTGGGAGGGCTGGAGGTGTCAGGTGGAGGGGCTGGGAGTGTGTCAGGTGGGGAGGGCTGGGAGTGGTCCATCACCTGGGCAGGTATGGTCATTAATAGCTTCCTGCCACACACCAGGTGTGATTCCCTCACACACACTGCCTGTGACTGGATCCTTCAAAGCTCCTACGATGGTTTCTCCTGTACTCTCTCTCTCTCTCTCTCTCTCTCTCCATTTTTTCCATCTTCCCCCTCCCTTTGCCCCCTCTTCCCTCCTTTTTTCCTTCTCTCCCTTTCCTTCTTCTTCTCTCTCCCCCTCCTTTTCCTCCTTTACCCCCCTCCTTCCGTCTTCCCATCCCTCCCCCCTACTGTTGGTTAGGTTAGGTCTGAGAATCTAATTTTGTGTCGTAACCTAAGTACTACGCCAGGCACTCAGATACGTCCACACATCACCAATTAGGGGAAACTTATTGCCTTTCCTCTGAGAATCCGGTCATTACCCACTTCCTGGCCTGAAGGTGTTGACGGCGCCGAGGTCAGGTGAGGGATGGGTCAGGAGAACAGATGAATGAGGATGCTGCCATAACTATCCTGAACGATGGGTAGTTGGTTAGGTTAGGTTAGGGTGAGGGAATATGACCGCGGTAATAATAATAATAATAATAATAATAAATAGGAAACGAGAAGGAGTGAGGGAAGAGGAGGAGGAGGAGGGTCAGGTGATAGAGGGAAGGACAGGTGGCCAGAGAGACTCACCTTGACACCTGCCTTAATCACACACCTGTTGTGGAAGAAAGTCCGCTTGAGTCGCAGGGGGGTACAGGAGGAGGAGGGGCAGAAGGGTGGCGGCAGGCAGCAGTGGAAGACGGTTGAGGGGATAGGAGGAATGGGGATGGAAATTACAGGCAATTGGAGTTGGAACAATCAGTGAGGGGCTGAGGAGAGGGACTGGAGGGCGGATGCGGTGGGGGTTAACAGTGAGGGGCGCGGGGGGTAGGTGAGGGGTTAGTATTAGCAGTATTGGTGGTTTAGCAAGAGGCGGTCTGACGTCATCTAAAACGCACGTGTTGTTATGATTTCACAGCTCGTAAATATAAACGTCAACAGACATTCACTCAGCGGAGGTACTGTAGGTGCTTCAGGCGAGGGTATCAGTGCTTCAGGCGAGGGTATCAGTGCTTCAGGCCAGGGTATCAGTGCTTCAGGCGACGGTATCAGTGCTTCAGGCCAGGGTATCAGTGCTTCAGGCCAGGGTATCAGTGCTTCAGGCGAGGGTATCAGTGCTTCAGGCGAGGGTATCAGTGCTTCAGGCGAGGGTATCAGTGCTTCAGGCGAGGGTATTAGTGCTTCAGGCCAGGGTATCAGTGCTTCAGGCGAGGGTATCAGTGCTTCAGGCGAGGGTATCAGTGCTTCAGGAGAGTGCATCATTGCTTCAGATGAGGGTTTCACGTATCGATACCATTAACTTTATTACTCTCGGGTGGATCTTGTTTACATATCGTCACGTAAAGATTATAAACATTATGTCGTATTAGAACCGCGAGCATATACCCAGCTGTCCTGAACCAAGACCAAATATTATCATCTCTATAATATTTGTGTTTTTTTTCATTTCCGCGTCTAGTTCCCACCACCTGTCTAAATAACGTCCTCTCTATCTCTGTCAATTTTCTGTCTAACTCCTCGACGTCGTGATGGGAGCTGTAAACCTGTTTTTTGGTCTTACCCTCAGCCACCCACCAAGGAAGATTTTGTGTGTGTGTGTGTGTGTGTGTGTTGGGGGGTGGGGGGTGGAGAGAGATACCAGGGTGTCAGCACCTTCCTGTAGGCGCTGACGAGGCAGACGCAATTTCCTGGGGTTGGCGGTCCGCTCTCCCTGGTTTGTTAGTGCCACCACCACCACTACTACTACTACTACTACCACCACTACCACCATCACCACCAGCACTACCACCATCACCACCAGCACTACCACCATCACCACCACCACCACCACCACCACTACTCTTACTACCTCCAACTTCCCCCAATACCACCACTACTACCCCCACCATCACTACTACCAGCACTACCACCATCACCACTAGCACTACCACCATCACCACCAGCACTACCACCATCACCACCACAGCTCTCGCACAATCACTCACCTGACACATATTTTCCCTTTGATTATTCCCTCTGATTTTCTTCCCTCTGATTTTCTTCCCTCTGATTTTTTCCCCCCGCCACCAAGAGGAAAATATCTTAGGACTATATAAACATTACTTCCCCTCTGTCGTACGTCTATCATGCGTCATAAATCTTGTCCACACGATAACACCAACACATAGCTATTGATTGGAACAAAACTTGGTGTGTCGTTACATCACAACAGCATCTGAGTCCAGTTCGATCGTTAGGGTTTTATGTAGTTAGTATTGAGAGTTATGAGCAATTAGGCTTTGTTATGATGCTGAGGGAGATTTGACTACTTTTTATTTTGTCTATTTTCTTATGTGTTATTGTTTTTCTTGTTATTAGTGTTGTTGTTTATTTGGTGTTGTTATTGTTGTTGTTTTTAATGAGTGTAATGGAACCCTATTTCGACTCCATTACGAAATAGGTCAAGCATATTTCCTTCTCTGTCACTTCTTCTCCCCTCTCCCCCCGTCAACGCTCCTCCCTCCTCCTCCCCCGTCAACGCTCCTCCCTCCTCCTCCCCCGTCAACGCTCCTCCCTCCTCCTCCCCCGTCAACTTGCTTTCTCCCTCCTCCTCCCCCATCCAACGCTCCTCCTCCTCTCCCCGTCAACGCTCCTCCCTCTCCTCCCCCGTCGCTTGCTCCTCCTCCTCCTCCTCCCCCGTCAACGCTCCTCCCTCCTCCTCCCGTCGCTTGCTCCTCCCTCCTCCCTCCCCCGTCAACCTCCTCCCCTCCTCCTCCCCGTCAACGCCTCCTCCCTTCTTTCCTGTCAATACTGTTCTCTCTTCACCCTCCCCTCCTATCACCTCCTCTACTCACCCTTCATCCCTTATCCTCCCCTCACCCCTCATCACTGCCACCCCTCACCCCCTCCCCCCTCACCCCTCCCCCTCATCATCAACTCCCTCCTCTGTCAGTTCTTCCTTCCTAAACTCCCTCTTCCGTCTACACACATCATCGGCTAGTGACAGGCAGTGACAGAGGCCGCCACACTCACCACCAGTAAATGACTCCTGGTGACAGATGGAGACAGTAATGGCTCCTGTCCATGGCTGTTACTGCAGTGGAGGGAAGGGGAAGGGGAAGGGGAAGGGGTAAGGGAAAGTGAAAAGGTAGGGGAGAGGATGAGGCGAGGGAAGGGACGGGAAAGGGGAGTAGAGATAAGGGAAGGAAGACAGAGGAAGGGAAGGAGGGAAGGAAGGAAATAAGGAAGGGGAAGGAAGGGAAGAAGGCGAATATTAGAGGAGAAGGGAAGGAGAGTGGCACAGGAGGGGATGGAATAGGGGAAGAGAAAGACAGGAAGTAGATAGGAGAGGACGGAAGGAAAGAGACGGGAGAGGAAGAAAAAAATAAAGGGAACAAGAAAGGAGTGGACAGAAGGAACGGAAATAAATAAAGGAGGGAGGGAGAAAAGGGAATGAAATAAA